TTTTTTTTTTTTTTTTGGGATTTTAACAAGAAAAAGTCTTTTCACATGAAACTAATTTTTTTAGATACTAGGTAATGAAATGACATCGCTTCACTATTTAGGGTTTTAAAAAATAAATCCTTCTTTTGTTGTTCCTTCTATCACAGGAGCAAATAATTTGATTGTTAAAAGTGTTCTCTTTTGCCTCCTCTAGATGTTAGAACTAGAATTCGCTAAATTTGGTATTGATGAATTATGTTAAAAACTTTTAGATTGTTAATTTTTTGGTTTTGGCCCTTCTAGTCTTTTTAAATCGTTTTATGCGAGAAACATGTGGTGAATTGTTGTTATGACCTTTTTTCATAGGTATATGGATTTTTTAATATCTTTTATAAAACTACACGTCTCTTATGACACGTTATGTTACGATACACGATATGTTATTTTTGAAGAACGATATACCTTCCGATACACATTCCATTGATTGCCTTTTTTACAAGCCAGTCTGTAGTTCAGTTGATTGCAGATGTATGGTAACCTTACATATCCTTCGACAATACTTGCACACATTGATCATGTGTTCTTTTGCTCGACTACCCCTAACATTTATAAATGCACCGAATGGTGGCCATTGAGAGGATGATTGATGGTGAATTTGGGGGAAAGAAAATGAGAAAGTGATTGCGTGAGGAGAGATGCATGCGTACAATGTGTGTTGTGCCTTTGATAGAGATCTTACGATTCTGGTTGTATGAAAGTCTTCCTAATTTTAAAATGTGGGAGAAAAAAATTGAAAAACAAATGACAACAAAAAAAGATTTTTCAAATACTAGAGAAAAGGGCCACTAGTAGAGTGGGGTCAATCACCTGAGATGATAAATACATACAAAAATTATGTATCATGTGCCGACACTTTTGTTAATTATCGATGCTTGGTGACTAATTTATCTTGTCTTTGTTAGAGCATCCAATGGAGAGGCCTTTTTACTATATGAACTAACCTTAGGTTACCCTAATTATTAAATGTGGGATACACTCTCTCTTTACGCTCCCCCATATGTGGGATCTTGGGTTAACAAGCAAACGAACAACCATGTACATTGAAAAATTCAAATGGGTAAGAGACTTGACCCACTGACCACCCAAGACCTAACTCAGATACCATGTTAGAATATTCAACTCAACCAATTGGTTAACACATCATGGTGGATAGGCCTCTTAAGCACATAAACCAACCTTGGGTGGTTCTAATTGTTCGATGTGAGATATAAATTCTCTTTACGCCTTCTCTTGCATGGAACAAACAGACAAATATGTATACTAAGAAATGCAAATGGGTAAGAGACTTGACCAATTGACCACCTAAGACACTTCTGATACCATATTAGAGCATTCAACTCAAAATCAATTGGCGATGACTAGAGAGACCCCTTAAATATATAAACTAACCTTGAGAGATCTTAATTATTTGATGTTGAATTTAAGCTCGGTTTACACCTTCCCTTAGTTGGGACCCGAACTTGCGTATGGAGTTAACCAACAAATAGCCAACTGCCCATAGCGGAAAATTCAAAATGGGTAAGAGAGTTGACCCGTTGACCACCCAAGACCTAACTCTGGTACCATGTGGAGTATGAAACTATTTAGTTATGAGTGGAGAGGCCCTTCAAGCATAGATATAAACTAGCCTTGAGTAACCCTTATCATAAATGTGTGATACAAGCTCTCTTTACATCTCTCTCACATTGGACTTGGGCTCGCACGTGGGGCTAAGAAATAAACAAACAATCACGAATATTAGTAAATTCAAATGGGTCTTGACCTCCCAAGGCGTAGTTTTGATATCAGGTTAGACCATCAAACTTAAAACCAGTTGTCCATTAGTGGAGAGTACCTTCAAGATATAAACCAACTTTGGGTGTCCCTAATCATTTGATGTTAGATACAAACTCTTTTTAACCCTTCCTCCCTCACGACTTGGGTTAGCACGTGGGGCTACCGAGGAAAACGACAAATATGTATGCCGAGAACTTAAATAGGTAAGAGACTTAGCTTAGTGGTTGCCCGAGGCTGAGCTTCGATACCACGTTAGAGGCATCCAACCCAAAGCCAATTGGTAAAGAGTGGAGAAGGCTTTTCACTATATAAACTAACCTTGGATGGCCCCAATCATTTAATATGGGTTCCAAGCTCTCTTTAAAAATTGGTTAGCCAATTGTTTTGGAGTTGGATACTCTAACAATCTTGACTATTGAGGATATTTCCATTAGTCCGCTTGCCCAATAGAAAATATTTTCTTTGTAGTTTTTTTAACTTTTTATAATCGTGGAAAAACAGAGTAAGTGTTGGGCTAAGTTAATTTTTTTCTAATAAGTTTGTTTACTTCTTTGTTCACTACGGTGGCAAAATTTGCAACCAAACCAAAACATATTTTTGCTAATTACATAAATTGGACCTATGTACTCTAACCTTCAAAAGAAATTTGGGTCAATTGGTTAATATTTCGACCCAAGTTTAGCATTTGCTATTTTTCTTGCTTTGAGGTGAGGTTTCTCTGCACTGTTGTGCCCGTTTCTTATTTGCTAATATGAAAATTGATGCTGTCGAGGTGGATAACTTGTTCAGAGTAGAAGATTTATTGTTTTAATCAAATATTATGGTGACTTGAGAGGGGGAAAATATTTGAATGCATATTTCTGCATTCTTAAAGAGAGCTTCTTTGTCAAGTGTTAAGTTTTCATATTGACAAATTCCTGGACTAATCAAAATAAAAATATAAAGAAACTCCTGGTCCTGGTCTTGCTAATATCTTTTTAAGTAATCTGCTTGTGAAGTGCGATTTTTCTGCAACAAGCACTGAAACCGAGTATTTTAAATTCAATATTTTATCAATTTTTTCCTAGTGATACTCATCTTTGTGGGGAGACCATTGTTGAATATTGCATGTAATAAGGATTCTCTAGAATGAATGAGGAAAAGAGGAAGCTGGTGGCCGATTTTATGTAACTAAGGTTGATGCCTAATTAACCCTTGAATTCTTTTGGGGTTTAATATGGTTTGATGAACTCAGCAGTTCCCCGTGGGAAATTATTGGTAGGACTAACAACCTGTAGAGCAGCATCGTTTTTTTGTTGTGCATAAAAGATAAACCTTGGTCTGGAATGATGTTTTTTGAAATTGAATACATACCTTGGTCTGGGTGTAATGCATGTCTTGTGTTGATTTACATAAATTCATTTTATTTCAGAAAGTTGGATTGTCTGGTCCGAGAAATGCTACGCGATGTGGTCTCTGGTGGGTAGAAATGTTGAAGACAATGGATCAGTATAAAGAGGCTGCCAGTGTTTACTTCCGTATCTCTGGTGAGGTAATGAATCGTTTTTTTTTTTTTTTTTGATTTTATATAACACAACGGAGTATGAATATATATATTCTGCTCTGAAAATGTATTTTTGGGTTAGGAACCCCTGCATTCGGCTGTAATGCTTGAGCAAGCATCTTATTGCTACTTGTTTTCAAAACCGCCCATGCTACGCAAGTATGGGTTTCATCTCATTCTTTCTGGAGATCTTTACAAGAAATGCGATCAGGTACCTCTTGTCAAATCTTGCAATTTTAATATGCACATAAAGTGCTGCTCAAAAAAAAAAAAATATGCACATAAAGTGGTCTAATTTTTGAAAATTTGTATGTTGTCAATTATCAGATGAAACATGCAATTCGAACATACAGAGCTGCTCTCTCTGTATTTAAAGGAACTATGTGGAGCCATATTAACGATCATGTGCATTTCCACATCGGAAAGTAAGTTGCAGATAGCCATCTAACCTCTGATTTGCATGATTAACATATAGTGATCATGCAACATTGATAATGTGTGAAATCTTACTAACCTTATCATTGATACAGGTGGTATGCTTTCCTTGGGATGTTTGACATGGCTATCAAACATTTGTTGGAAGTCCTAGCCTGTAGCCATCAATCAAAGATGACGCAGGAATTATTCCTGAGGGACTTCTTTCAAATTGTTCAGGTAATAATTAATGTTAACATTTTTTTGTTCTCCCCTGCAGTGTACCTAATATAAGTTAAAATAGAGTTAAGTCTCTGCAGAGCTTAAGAATCCGAATAGGATCATCTACCATTTTGGGTTCTTCGGATCTGGCATGGTTGCCTGTCATATTGTCTTATGTCAAACTAGATTATATATATTTTCTTGATATGCCCTGAACCATAGTGATATCACAACTTGGATTGCTCTGTATCCACTTGCTTTTGTCTGGACTTTAACCTGATCAACCATCAGCTCTAATATTGAATTAAATTTCATATATTAGGTTGCATTTTTTATTATGTTTGGCTCTTTCTTCTTCTTCGTCTTCCCGTTCCTTCTTTACTCTGCCAAGGTTTATACATATTTGAGTGAAGGGGCAGTAATCCAACAATCATGAGGTCGATAAAGGCCAAGCAACCAAAGCTAGAAAAATCCAACAAGTTAGAAGANATATTCTGCTCTGAAAATGTATTTTTGGGTTAGGAACCCCTGCATTCGGCTGTAATGCTTGAGCAAGCATCTTATTGCTACTTGTTTTCAAAACCGCCCATGCTACGCAAGTATGGGTTTCATCTCATTCTTTCTGGAGATCTTTACAAGAAATGCGATCAGGTACCTCTTGTCAAATCTTGCAATTTTAATATGCACATAAAGTGCTGCTCAAAAAAAAAAAAATATGCACATAAAGTGGTCTAATTTTTGAAAATTTGTATGTTGTCAATTATCAGATGAAACATGCAATTCGAACATACAGAGCTGCTCTCTCTGTATTTAAAGGAACTATGTGGAGCCATATTAACGATCATGTGCATTTCCACATCGGAAAGTAAGTTGCAGATAGCCATCTAACCTCTGATTTGCATGATTAACATATAGTGATCATGCAACATTGATAATGTGTGAAATCTTACTAACCTTATCATTGATACAGGTGGTATGCTTTCCTTGGGATGTTTGACATGGCTATCAAACATTTGTTGGAAGTCCTAGCCTGTAGCCATCAATCAAAGATGACGCAGGAATTATTCCTGAGGGACTTCTTTCAAATTGTTCAGGTAATAATTAATGTTAACATTTTTTTGTTCTCCCCTGCAGTGTACCTAATATAAGTTAAAATAGAGTTAAGTCTCTGCAGAGCTTAAGAATCCGAATAGGATCATCTACCATTTTGGGTTCTTCGGATCTGGCATGGTTGCCTGTCATATTGTCTTATGTCAAACTAGATTATATATATTTTCTTGATATGCCCTGAACCATAGTGATATCACAACTTGGATTGCTCTGTATCCACTTGCTTTTGTCTGGACTTTAACCTGATCAACCATCAGCTCTAATATTGAATTAAATTTCATATATTAGGTTGCATTTTTTATTATGTTTGGCTCTTTCTTCTTCTTCGTCTTCCCGTTCCTTCTTTACTCTGCCAAGGTTTATACATATTTGAGTGAAGGGGCAGTAATCCAACAATCATGAGGTCGATAAAGGCCAAGCAACCAAAGCTAGAAAAATCCAACAAGTTAGAAGAATTGGCAGGAAAAAGAAAAGATGAAGACCTCAGGTTTTGAGAACTTAGGGAAAATACTGGAAAACTGTGGCTGTGTAGTGACAAAGATCTATGCTAGTATCATCTGATTGCTTGCCTGAAAGAACTTTGTGGCATGAAAAGCCTTCCATTATCTATTGATCTTCAACAACCATCGAGTGTTTTTTAACATACAGAAATTTCTGGTCCCCTTTTTTGGTTGTGTCAACTGGATGCATCAAAAGATTTCCATTATGATCTAGCCTGAAATATTTGTAACAGACGTTCTGTTCAGCGAAAGTTATGGCTAATCTTCTAATTAAAGTTTTAACCATTCTGTTTGTTCTTTTTGTATTCATGCTAGCTAGGCCCGAGAAAGGATGTTTAAGTGTTTTTACCCTGTTTAATGGTTGGAGCACCATATCTCCCAGTTCCTTATTTGGCTAGACAGCCTTGTGATTTTGACGTGGAAAATTTCCATCAATGGATGAAACCAGGATTTACCTACTTTGTATTAGCGGATAATCTCTATGATTGCGGGACATTTTAGCTTTCTCTTGAAATTATACAGTCAACCATAATAGTATCAAGAGTATTGTTTGAGATTCACTTCTATATGTCACAGAAAGTGGTTACGGTCCCTGTCTATTACTTTTGCTTTGTTTGGATGATGTAGAAAGCAGGGAAAACATTTGAAGTATTGAGGCTTCAGTTGCCTGTGGTTAATGTTTCTTCACTGAAGGTTGTTTTTGAAGATCATCGAACTTATGCATCACCTGAAGCTGTAAGTAAAATAAGTTTTTCTCCTTTTTGGCCTGAAGATTATTTTCTTTGCTAATGGTTGCTAAATTTGTTCTTTGACTTGCATGTCTATGCACCATAATGTTGCCAGTCAATAGAATGGTTGCTGGGTTTATGTATTTATTTAATGATGTGATTGATGCTATTGCAATCCATTGTCATGATTGTCGGACTTAATTTTTTCTTTGGATATTGTTTTCACTCTCCAGCCAACTATGTATTGGCTGAGGCACAAATCAGATGCTGCAGTTGGATAATTATTTTGGCTCCTTGCCGTACACGTGCTTTGTGATATTGTTTTTGCTTGTTTTGTCAATCAGCATTTTAAAACTCTTAGGTTCAGCTTCATTCCATTGCCCTCCCTTGTTTGTGTTTTGCAAGTTAAAATTCTTCACTCTGTCCATCTTTACTACCATGTACAAGTCTAGAGAATAGACAATCCAATTAATGCACCGGAATGGCTTTATGCCTGTTTGTAAGCTAATAGACTAAAGATTAAAAGTTAACAAATCCTCAACTCAACGAAACCTTGTCTTCACTAGAGGGGGTCGGTTACATTCCTCCTTATCGACCTATTTTTTCTATCAAGAATTATTTTTGCTATTAAACCATAAGCTATATATCCATTTTCTCTGTTTAATATTCAACTATCTGTACGCCTCACATTGCCATCCATTGTTATCACGTCCCCCTTCCTCACTGGTGCAGTAATAGGTCCTCTATAAACAAATCCAATACACCAAAATTGATGGTCACTTTATTTTCTCTCCTATTAGTAGGCATGTCCACGGATTGCATTCGGATGGATCTAAGGCCATTTGAGTCCAATTCGTTTATCTGATGGATATAAAAATCTTAGTCAATGTTCAAATCCAAATCCACTTATAAGCCCATTCGAGTCCGATAATGCTATCCGATCCGTGTCGATGGTATTGCACCAAAATGTCAACAAATAATCAATAATATGGGAAATTTATAGTTAAATTTTAGCAAAATATTACTGATCGATCACTCAATTCCAACAATTTGTATTCATTTTCATCTCATTATTTTTAGTGTTTCAACAGATTCAAAAACAAGAACAATACACAAATCAAATGTTTCCTATTATGTTTCATTCATTTTCCCCAGTTTTCTCCAGCTGGATGAATAAACCCATAACTTTCCCAATGAATTGAAACTAAACCTATTTATTTTCTCATGAAAAATAGAGGAATGGTGAGAGTAGAAGCAAAAGAGAGAGAGGGAGGGAGGTAGCATAAGAGAGAAAAGAGATGAAGGAACAACGAAGGAATAAGAAAAAAGCAAAGGGATATAGAAATAGAGAGAGAGAAGTGATAGAGACAGAGAAAGACGGAAAGGGCAGAAGTGAGAGGAAGAAAGAGAGATCGAGAAACTGAGAGAAAGAAAGGGAGAGAGAGTTGACGGGTAGTAGATGGGTGACAGATTCTTGGTGAAGGTTGTGAAGAGGCCGCAGAGATGCAGGGGAAGAGGGAAGGGGGAGGATAGCTGGGTTAGGGTTGGGAAGAATCTTATACTAAAGAACAGAATATATATATCAATCGGATCAAAATTTTATCTGATTGGATTTGAATATATCCATAACTATAACTGATTTAAGAAGTTTAAATGGATTCGGATTGGATTCAGATAAAAGGATTAAATTTCTATTCTATCTCCAGTTAACCGGTTTTGAATTGATAGGCCTGCCTATTAGTACTACTTTTAATGTTCACAGATATACTCATTCTTAATTTTATGTTTTTTTGGTTTTACAACTCGTCCATTTTAACCTCTGTATTTCGGCCACACCTAGTTGCTAATCATGTTGTTCTTTGTCACCCAACATTTTGTAACATAAAATATGCCCCATTTTATTGCTGTATTGTAGAGCTTGCTTGTCAGCTTAACATGATACATGAGATACACTCCTTCACTTAATACATTCTGTTTAAGTCTATGACTAACATTGTCTCCATTTTCACCCTCCATATGTTGATTGACCACAAATATCGAAATCGTTCACTCTCAATAAGTTTTTCTGCAGGATTTAGGGATTTTTGTATCTTTGTCATGTTGTTTCCTATGGATATGGATTGATATGGACGGTTTCCACTTCTCTACTATTCACTTCTACTTGAACCGGTCAACAAGCAGGACAAGGATCCAAAGGAAGATGTCATGGTTCAGCACTACCCAACTTGTGGGGTGTCACATGTTCTTTGAATCTCCTATGAAAAGTTAAATGTTACAAACCTGGAAAAATGTGGAATGCGTTTTATCGTGCTCCATTGCAATTGTACTACACTATTTGCATCCAACACCCTCCAGGGCAATATCAATGTCTTTCACCCTGCTTTTAGTTGTTTATTTCCATTTCTGGAACAGCTTACACCATGGAGGCTGGTAGTCATTCCCATTTTAAGTCACTTTTTTTGTTGCTAGTACCTCTCTCCCTCTCCCTCTCCCTCTCCCTCTCCCTCTCCCTCTCCCCTGTGTGTGTGAATTACACTCTTACAGTACCTCTTCTTGACTTGAACTCAGATGTCACAACCTTTTTTTTGACCATCTCTATGATTATATCTCACCCTGTTCATTTTTTATGTTTTTTATGCACTCTAACCTGCCAATATGTTCTTTATATACTATAAACCTCATGAATATGCAAATTTTTTTTATAGATTATGGCTTCTCACTGATTTTCCTTTTGCTTCCAAAAACTCCAGGTCAATGTTAGTGAAAGTTTGTGGAAGTCTTTGGAGGAGGACGTAATCCCACCATTTTCTATCATCAGGACTAATTGGCTGGAATCACAAGCAAAGCTTGTACCAACTTTGTATAAAGAATCAAATATATGTGTGGCAGGAGGTATGAAGGTGATGGTATTATGTAGATGCAGAATGATATAGTGCATCACATTTCTTGATGAACCTTGTTCTCCTACATCGGTGCACCAGGGGCTTTGTTGTATCAATATACGAGGCATTTTAGACAGTTTTGGGGTTACTATTTAACCATAAGAAACGAAATTTATATGCATTTTGTAGTGATCATAGGGCTTTATTAGACGGTTTACAACATGTAGGCTAATTGTGTTTCTAAATCGAAGACCGTCTGGAACTTGTAACAATCATATATGGTCAGATGACCTGCTTTTTGGCGGAAACTTATTGACATATAGAAGGCAAACTTGATCTCCTCTACTCACTTGATGACCCTCCTAATGACCTGGTAACCTGTCCACGTACAATGGGGAACAAGGCTCTTGTTGCTATCAGTAATTGATCCTTGAGGCAGCGATTAACCGAGAGAAAGCAATGAGTAGTACCTACGAATAGTATTTATTAGCTGATCCCTGAGGTTTATACTAAGGCAACTTTTTTGGGTGCATACTATCTTAATTTTCTAACAATATATGCAACAGAATCTTAAGGATTGGTAATTGCGGATTCTTCTGTTTTTTCCTTATTTTTTGGTTTGGTATTCAGGGAATTTTCTAATGATGGAATAGATGTAACTTCACTTCATTATGTCGGAGTATTTGTTGTTGATGTATGTGCTTCATGCTTCTTTCAGAAGCGATTACGGTAGTTATCGGTTTCAAAAATCCCCTTCAAATCCCTGTTTCAATCTCTAGTGCTTCCCTAACATGTGAGCATTCTGCACAATCTGATGAAATGAAACCTGGTAAGTCAATATATGCCAGTTTACTTACTATTTACTGTGTACTTTTATTTCTTCCTCTTCTTTTTATTTTTTTCCTTGAGGTCCAAGTTGATACAATTTTTTCACCAGAATTATGTAAGTACCATCTTTTATGATGCAGGGGCAAATAGCTCAACAACTGGGCATCAGATTGACGAGGAATCCAGGAAGTTAGCCACCAGTGGGTATGTATATTGGATTTTCCAGTCTATTTACTCAAAAATATCTTTTATTTGATGAGCACAAGTCCCATACTTTGTGTTCATACTTTGTTTGACCAAGCCAACTAGTGCTAAGGAGGGTGTTTTCTTGATAATTACAGTGAAATTATCTCAGACATGTCTGCATTTACATTGTCCGAGGTTGACATTTTACTTGGAGGTGGTGAAACAATTGAGGTGAGTTTTGCGTTTGAACTGTCAACCATTGAGATCTCATGCAAAAATCTGTGCAACTTAGAAGACTTCACTTCCTTACAGCAGTATCCAAAAGCATTATGTGGTTTCGTATTACTTAGCTGTTGGCCTGTTGGTTTTCCAATTCCAAAACAGTATTTAAAACGCAGTAAGTTGTAATTTGTAAATAATTTTACTAATTGAACAGAGTTGACCTTTATCCATTGCTACGTTGTAAATAAAAATTGCACTTGATTTATATGGATTAAGTATACCGATATGATTAGTTAGCTTTTTGGCTTCCAACAGTTAATTGGCTAAAAACGTCTTCAAAAGCATGACAGATTTAGTATACGTTAGTGTTTGCTTAGAATCATAATCAACCCAATTTTGGGGTTTTAGTGGGCATATGTTTTAATACTTAGTTCTATATTAGGAAATATACATAAATATATGTTCTCATCATTTACACCTTTTCCCTTTCCTTTTATTTATGTCCGGTAAGGGAACATCTCAATAAACCCACTGGCTTTCAACTCCGTTTGGGGAATTGAAACGAATTTGGAAAGAGGTCAACACTGGAAAAAAGCAGAATCATGACAAACAATTTGAAAAGATAGGCAGAAAAAAAGGGAAATCAAAGGGATACAGAGAAACTAAATAAGAAAGTTCCCCCCTCCCCTCTTTTCCCCTCCTTTAGTTTGTCTTTCTTGTTGGTCACTGTAACCACTGTATTGTTGACTGCAACACTTTGCTTAGTTGTTGTACATGATTTCTACTCCTTGAAGCGTTTTTCATTCATCATCCTTTTTCTTTGCAAAATGTCAGGCACAGCTTACAGTTACGCCCAAAGAGGAAGGCATCTTAAAAATAGTTGGTGTGAAGTGGAAATTGTCAGGTTCAGTAATTGGTTTCCATAAGTTTGAGTCGGACTTGGTTAAAAGGAAAGTTGCAAAGGGAAGACGAAATATTAAGACGTCTATGAAGGATAACCTCAAGTTTTTAGTGATCAAGGTGCCTTTTTTCCCATTCTTTTTCCCGTTTTCACATCTTTCATGCTCGATTTAATCAAAGTTGTATGTATTCTCCTTCAACAACTTCAGTTAACCTATTTATTCACTAATTTTCTGCTATAACTTCCTCAATGCCAGAGTCTACCCAAGCTTGAAGGGTTCATTGATCACATGCCTAAAACAGTTTATGCAGGAGATTTACGGCGTCTTGCCTTGGAGTTGAAGAATCCATCAGAAATTCCTGTGAAGGTTGGTTTTGCTGTTAAGTACAGCAGTTCAGTATTTGGTTCAGATATGCTTGTCACCGTCACAAACATGTAGCATCTGTGCCCTTCCATTCAGGGTCCTCACCATAATCCTTAAGTTGGATCAAGTTGACATGTTTTTAATAGATGGCGAGTGTTCTAGTTTTTGGATCATATTATTTCTCTGCTAAAACCATCGTCTGTGGTATGTGTATTTGTAAATCTATACATTCCAACAGGTAATAGTTAATGAGTTTTACAGGATTAAGCAGTTTAAAATTGAAGTACGAATGGTATACCATCTAGTTGATACGATGGAAGGTTTATCTTACAAGATTAACGTAAAGCTATGGAAAATTGTAAGGGAAACAAATCATGCCACACTATTTCTCACTGTATGGATAAACATTAATTATTTCTTTATACACTATAGTGATGTCCACTTGGGGACTTTCAAAGTGTACTGGTCCTAGATAACAATTCTCTGATTCAGTTTATTCATCATGATATCTTTTTTCAGAGTATAAAGATGAGGATCAATCATCCAAGGTTTTTAAACATTGGAAATCCGGAAGTTATGAATATGGAATTTCCTGCTTGCCTTGTTAAAAAGGAAAATTCCATACAGTCCAACACCAATAAAGCATCAGACAGTGTTTTTGTGTTTCCCGAGGTTAGTGGAGGACTTCTTATCAGGTGGATTTCTGTTGGCAATCTAAGTCAATATGTTCTTCGGATGATTTCATTTTCATTTGCCTTCAATTCTGCTTTTAGAATACAGTAATTCGTAGAGAAACTCCACTCTCTTGGCCTCTTTGGCTTCGGGCTGCTGCTCCTGGGAATATTTCATTGTACCTAACAATATGCTTTGAGATGGGAGATGAATCAACTGTCATGAGATATCGCACTTTACGCATGCATTATAATTTGGAGGTACTCTTTTCTTTCTTTTTTTTTTCTCTTGATGTTACTTTGGAAGATTCTCTTGAACATAATGGGCGATGAACTTTCTATGTGATCATTAATTTCCCGTGGCCAAATTAAACATTGGTCTCCTGAATTAAAATTGTTAGTTGTACCACCTGACTTAATTTCAATTACAAGCACATATCTTATAATCTATATTCATATTTTAACGCTGCTCATAAAATCTCCTTTTTGGGGTCTTGGAAAGATTTACTTTGGTAATCCATGTAATGATCTGTTGTTTCAACACTCATCCATTCCATAAAAGGAACAAAGTTTTGATCTTAAACTGGAGCTTACCAACATCAGCATCTGTCAGCTTGTTGCAAACTATTTCCTGAGTATATCCTAATTGTCAGTTAGATTTCAGACTTCATTTCCATAACATGGATGACAAAAAACAGTTCTATTGATTTATCCATGTGTATTATCCTGTTATCTTTTTTAGGTATTACCATCATTAGATGTGTCCTTCCAAATCAGCTCATGTCCTTCAAGATTGCAAGAATTTCTTGTGCGAATGGATGTTGTCAACAGGACCAGTTCAGAGAGTTTCCAGGTTCATCAGTTGTCATTTGTTGGAAAACAATGGGAAATATCATTGCTTCAACCAATTGATACCGTTCTTCCTTTGCAATTTCTAATGGCTGGTCAAGCACTCGCATGTTTTTTCAAGCTCAAGGTTGGTATAAGAAGCTACATTTTTTGTTCCTCTAATCATCTAAACTGTGTTATTGTGTCCACTGGAAGCAGCTGTGCCATTTTTTCCTTTTTTTTTAAATTTGTCATCTGTTGGAAAACAATGGGAAATCTGATTGCTTCAACTGATTGATACCGTTCTTCCGTTGCAATTTCTAATGGCTGGTCAAGCACTCCCATGTTTTTTCAAGCTCAATGATGGTATGAGAAGCTACACGTTTGGTTCCACTAATCAACCAAAATGTATTTTTGTTTCCTCTGGAGAAGCTGTGTCATTCTTTTCCTTTTTGTTTTTTTATTTGTGATACCATATCTCCATTGACGCGGTTCATCACCCTGCTATTTAATGAGCTGGCTTTGTTTCTAAAGTTAACTCTTCTCAAATGCCATGTTTTGCTAATATGTCTTGTATACGTGCATGTCACACACCACAAGGCCGACACTTTTGACTCTATGCCCAACACTCTCTTTTATCTTCTTGTCCATTTTCTAAGTTTGTCATAGTTGTGCTATCATATGAAATCTTACTCTCTATGTACTTTTAAAAGTTTGTTACATCAACACTGCCATGCTTTTATCATTTTTACTTGTCTTTCGCACTTGTTTGAATGCTTGTTTGTGTGTGTTTTTCACCAAATACACCGACTATTCATTACTTTTTGGGGTTTTATTTGATTAGTGTTGGCTTCAGAATTGCAGGAAACCTGGAACTGATGAAGACAAGGTCCTTTCTCTAGCCCCTTTAGATAGAACTGATGCGAGATTGCGCCATGGTAGCAGTGAAGCCTTGTTTGATGTATATAACTCACCTTTAATTGATTTTCACCATTATGAAAGAGTGCACCAGGAAATGTCAGATCAGGTTGGCTATCTTCTTGCTATGTTGTACATAATGTTTACGGGTACCAACTTTCTTTAGTATTGCCACCGCCCACCACCAAAATTCATTTTGCTCGAGTTTGCTAAGTCTTGTTTCACCAAGCCATTCTTACAGGGCATTGCCATAGGGACAAAAGATTCACAATATTGCATGGTTTTAAAATTGTTTGCATAGCCATTTTGGCTTATGACTTTTAGTGTGTGTTTTGGGGGAGGCGGGGAGGTAATGGCCAAGTAAATTATTTATCGTTGAGAATAAGAATAGGCATGATTGGGAAATAAGCATTTTTTGTTATAAGAACAAATATGTACTGCTAGTTTTAAAAGTCTTAGCACTGTGCATTGGGTTTGTGTTCAAGGCAAGGATCAAAATTTCATTTTGTTTCTACTGAAGCATTTCTGTGGATACCAAAACGAATCATTGATGAACAAATTCTCTTGTTATGGATTGTTTCAAGATGTTTTGGAAAGTTTCGGCCATTGTTTTGGAATAGAAATTCCAATTTTTTTCTTTTTTACCATTTTGTTTCTGAAGCCTTTCTAAAATGTTTCGAAGTTAAGTGAGAGTATGTACAGAAACGGTGCTTTGATTCTTAAGGAGCACATGGATTTACTGCCTTGTCGGTGTACTGAGAGTTTCTTTATGCATGAATCAGGGACATCAAGGTACAATTGACTTCATATTGATGACCCAGATGCAGAGTGATAACAATCCTGGGCTCCCCAACAGCAGAAATGTTTTCTCACATCATGTGTGTCATTGCAGGCAAGACATCCACCATTATATTTATAAACTGTACAGTGCATGATTAGATTCTACATGTCCTTGTTTTACTTGATTTTTTCTTATTTCTGGACTGAAAATACGTGGATATTATTCATTGTTGCATTCAACAATTTTTTTGTTTGCAGTCTTGCAAGCACGAGTCCGATATGGTGGCAAATGGATGGCCCCTGTATCTTCCGACATAACTTCTCTGCTTCTTTCTGCGAAATAAATCTAAGGATGACCATCCACAACTCCTCAGATGTCGTTGCATCAATTCGCATCAAGACCTCTGATTCTAATTCCAGTGTTAGTCCATTTAACAGTGCAACTTCAGTCTCTTCTGGAGATGAAGCAGGATGGCACGATATGTCTCTATCGAATGATGGTAAAGTCACATCTGATGTGCTGGCAACTCGAGTTGGGAAGTCACTATCACCAGATTGTGTTTCACCTTTCATTTGGTCAGGTTCAAGTTCTACTCGAATCAAACTTGATCCCTTGTCCACAACCAAAATTCCTCTCCAGATTTGTGTGTTTTCTCCTGGGACATTTGATTTGTCAGATTATGTTCTGCATTGGAATCTTCTTTCCCCTGATGATCAGGAGGATGATGAGGCTGGAAAGAGACCATCTTCAGGAACGTGCCAGGGGCATCCTTACTATCTAACCGTGCTGCAACAGGATTGAGCTTTTGGCTGTGGTAAATTTTGGCTCTCTTTTCAATGGCAGACTAGAGATTTTGTTTGTAGTTGTTCTGTACTTTCAGCTTGTAAATTATGGTGTTTCAATGTATTTGTATAGAAATAGGAGTTTTTTTCATTTGTTGGGGTGTGTGAGGAGGGCGAGGGGGTAGATTTGATTAAAAGTCGAAGGCAAGATTTAATAGGTGGTTCTATTTTTTCTTCAAAACAATAAGAGCAATGGAAATTAGGTAAATCCGCTACCTTATACTAGGTTTTCACCTATACTGGGTGATACGTGATTTTTTGGTTAACTCATTTTTTGGGAAGAACTGATGAGCAAATGATTGGGCTAAAGCTGAATGTAATCAATGAATCCATGACTAGCCGATGAATTTCAATATATTTCATTTGCTTGTTCCCTTTGGAGAATGACAGTAATATTGTGCTCGAGGCTTGATGCATCTTATTTTGACACAAAATCTCAGTGCTCTTTTGGATATGTCATCTCTCTTTCAGGATCCTGTTGCATCTGATGGAGCGTAGAGCGCAGGTAATCCGTTTTATAAGTTGGGTTTGCAAATGACCAATTTTTGGTTAATGGTAAGGAAATATCTGATGGTTAATTATCAACTCATACAAGCTCGGTATTTCATACCTGAGGCTGTAGCACGTAGAACTCAACGTGTAAAACTCGACTCAATTACCAACTAACCAACCTGGATAATGGTTGTAAATGGCCAAATTGATGTGAGCTGGGTCAAAAGTAATAACTCATGATTACTAAACTACTCATGATTGTTAAACTTTGACCACCCAAATCATTATACCACATGATTTAGATGTATTTGGATTTTGGAAAAAGATAGTGTGAATTTGATAGTATTTTTTTTTTTGTAAGTGCCCCGGGGGGTGGAGGCACTGAAATTGAGGAAGTTATGACTAAATAGGGTTAAAATTAGACCTTGATAGGGTTTAAAAAAAATGAGGGTCGGTTCTAATTGACTCATTAAATCATAACTTAAACCGTTTGAATCTTAATTTTGTAATGTCACCTATCAATACCTTAAATATCGTGGTCAAAGGGCTGATACATCTATAGAGACGGCACCAAATTAAATAAATAGCTAGCTAGTGTCCAAACAGATAAAACTAAAAAAACCACAAATACCCATATAAAAAAAAGAAAAAGAAGAATCCAAATTGAAATGAGTGTCCCCACTACACCAAGTCTTCCCACTAATGACAAAAAGCCAACCTCCAATCTCCCCTAATTACAACATCCTCCCCAGTCATCTCTCAAAATGCCAAGTGGAGGCCCCACCCAATTCAGACTCTTGAAAAAAATAAACCAATCCAAAATAATAAAACAAAAATACAATAGAGAGAGGGGGGAAATACTAGCATGCATCAAGGTATAGGATAAGAAAGAAAAATGGAGGTACCCAGTCCACCAAGAACTCAGAGGAGAGAGAGAGAGAGAGAATACTATCATGCATCAAGGTGTAGGATAAGAAAGAAAAAATGGAGGTACCCAGTCAACCAAAACCCCCATGGATTGACTTCTATTTCTTGTTGTTGTTCTGCCATGGCTTCACAGTGAAGAGAACAACGAACAAAATGATCACCAGGAGGAGGATAATGGCGAAACAAGTCCATTTCCTTGTGTTCTTTTGGTGCTTCCTCGCCACCTGCAATTGCTGAGCACCTCTTGTAACGAAGGAATTGGCTCTGTTCACATGACTCTCAATATCATCCAATTGCTCTCCTTGACTCTGAACCAGAACCGCCATGTCCAGAAAAACTTGATGCAACTCCTTCAAGTTCTTCTCCATTTCTTTCACTGCGTCGTGTCTCTCTTGGATCTCCAATATGGTGTCCATGACCTGCCCTCTTCCTTGCTGCTGAATCGCTTTCTGCAAAAAAGTTTCGCTCTCGCCGGTGGAGATCAGAGTATCCAGAGTGGATTCATCGGCGTTTTCTCCGGTGACGGTGAAGTACCGTCTCTGGATTGTCTCTTTGTACTCTTTAGCGATCTTGGTACGAAGATCGTTGAAGGAATTCATGGAGTCTTGGAGTTTCTTTCTCAGGCCGTTGACGACGGAGGTTCTTGTCCGGTCGGAGGAGCTACCCGGGCCGCAGCCGGGGAGGCTCCGATTGGCGGCGTTGGAGCGATCTAGAGCTTCGAGTCGGACCTTGATAAACTTGGCTTTCTTGAGAGATAAAGCGACGTCGTTGTCCATCTTGGACCTGAGGTCCTTGATAGACTTGGCGTTGTGGAGGGTTTTGCTCTGTTCATTAGCGGTTTGGAGCTGGGAGTAGAGGGTTTCAAGGTCTCTGAGCTCGTCTTTAATGGCTTCCACGTCCTCGAAGAACTTGTCGAGGTTGACACCGCCGGTGGACGGAGAGTTTGTCATCTGGATTACGTGAGATGGGGATTGTTCTTCGCTGCGGAAGCGAGAGAAAGAGCCTGAAATGAGGTCGTTCATGGTTGCAGTTGGAAATAGAAAAAGGGTTGGGTTTCAGAGAGAGATTGGATCTGAATTGTGGGATCTAATTAATATGGCAGTTGAGGTCTTGATTAGGGAAGAGGAAAGTTGTGATGGGTTATGAAGGCAGAGATTATTGGGGCGTTTCAGAGAGAGAGAGAGAGAATGGGAAGTTGGAAACTTCGAGGGGTGCTCTTGGTTCAAAGAATGGCTGCCTGAAGGGAATGGGCAGAGAGAGACAAATAAAATGGGTGTTCAAGCTATTTTCTATCTTCGAGAGGGAGAGAAAAGTCAACTTAATGTTGCACAGGGGGAGAGAGAGTGAAAAGGAGGGGGGGTGGGGTTGGAGTGGGATGGAGAAAGAAAGAGAGATATATATATATATATATAGAGAGAGAGAGAGAGAGAGAGAGACAGAGAGGAACTGTGATGGAAAAGGGTAGGGAAAGGAACATTAAGGAGGGGAAAGGGTCATAGCTAGGGGTACGTGGGTCTATACGGGGGCAAGACCAGTTAGTTTCGGGGTACTGAAAAATATTGGAGGAAAACGCGTTAAGGACCAAGGACTAAAGTTTTCCTCATTAAGCAAACCAGCAAAAGTGTGAAATTTCCGGGAAATTACCCTTTTTACACATTTTAATTTTGATCAAATTATTAAAATTTATAAAAAAATAAATTAAAAATATTACACGGCTCAACTCGACAAAATCTTAACCTTAACTTTTTGATCTCGACTACATGAATCTTATTTATTAGTCTGTTTGAAAAAATAATGAATTCATAAGAGGTTAAATATAGTCTAATGATATTTAACATTACTTAATTTTTAATTTTGCAATACATGTATCAAATGTTTATGTAATTAACTCCAAGATTTAATTCAAGTGGTAACATAAATAGACTATAAATTTAAACTTTTTGAATTCAAATCTTGACAATGTTTTAAAGTCAAATCATAAAAAATTTATCTCTCATAAATACCAAAATTTCGATATAAATAACCTACCTTTGACTAAATCAAAGAGGAGATTAGTCGATATATGCATAAATTAACCTAAATACTCCTGACTGTTTAAACCCAAAAAAAAAAAAAAATTAGGTAATTTACTGCCTTTCTTTCCATAAAAAAAAAAAAAAAAAAAACCTCCACAAAGTCCCCCCAAATAAAAAATGATAGATTTATAAATGGAAAACTGACTTCCAATTGTGCAGCCGACTTACAAAATAGACAGAAAGAAAAAAAAAGCTAAGGAGGTAATGGGACATTGAAATAATCCCCATTTAAAACTACGCAACACACTTCATCAATTTTATGTGAGACTTCAAACTTAGGGATGTATTAGCATACATGTTGTGCAGGAATTCACTGTGAGGTGATAGAGCTCGTTAACCCATTGAAGTGATTTAATAGTTAAACTTAACATTTGGTAATTCAGACATTTTAAGTTCAATCTCTTTTCATACTCTCTAAGAGGTAACTACCTTTTTAAGAAAATACTCTAACCCAACTCAAACTAATAATTGGCACAAGCTTAAATATCCTGTAATAAAAAAATAAACCGTACTAATTTGCTCATGTGTTACGAATTCCAATTTCACTCCCTTCCCAAAAATAGAAAGAAAATAGTAATTGATAACATAAATTAACGTGGATGAGCAAAAAGCACAAGTAACGTGAGATGAGCGTGGATCAGAACTTCAAAGCTCGTGTATGATGCTGAAATCAAATATTGAAAGAATTAAAGAAGTGTACACAGTAAAAATATAGTGGTTTACTGGCTCGGGAACTCGGCTAGTCCACTCTTCAATAAAAGTTTTTGCTCCTCTTTTTCTCTATTGATTAGTTGAATGTAATACAAGATAGTGCTAAACTGATTAGAGTTTTTCTCTTTTTCTCTCCCTTTCTCACTCTGTCTCTGCCTCACGATGAGGCGTTGCATAGTATTTATAAGGCTGCCTCCTATTTCGTGAGATTTCGGTCGAGATCTTTGCCCATTATTCATGAGATCTTCCTTGATTTTAGGAGAGAATCTTGATTGGTTGAGAGTTTCATGCATGGGGCCCAATTTTCGCAATCGTCCAACTATTTCCTGGTCGGTTCAGCTACGATCTCCCCAAGGGGAACTCCACCCCTGGTTCTCTGAATTTCTCGTGTCTTTTCTGAACTCCTGACTAGACCTCTTCACCTGACCTTACAACTAGGGCTTGTTTGAGGTATCATCAGTTGTCCCCCAGCTCCTGGTTCAAGCGGGCTTGGGTAAGGGTTGAGTTATTTTGTAAACCAAGTAGGGTCTGCAAGTGGCTGACCTTGGCCGACACGTGAGTTTGGCCTTTTTGGCGATTGTCAACAATCATGGCTTTCTCGTTTCCCGTGCACGTTTCAGGCCACGTCTTTCAGGCTTTAAATGCTCAAATGACTATCTAAATCGCCCTATCCACTGTTTAACTTCTCTGTTGCTTCTCTCTTCTTACAATTTCTTGGCTTTCTAGTTTGGAATTCTCTAATTCTTCGTTTAAGATCAAGTTCTGTGGGTTCAATTTGAGGATTCGCATTGCCCTCTTTCTTCCATTTCGTTCCAGGCTGCTGTTCGTTGCTCTTTCCCCCCTAGATACGCCCTTCTGTCCCTTTTTTATCTTTCCTCGTTCTAGATCCCTTGAATTCGAGGTGGTCATTGCATTTCTCAACCTTTCAATTCTTTTACTTTTGGAATCGAAATTACTACTTATTTTCCCTCCCCCACTTCGTGAACTAGTTTTCTATCGTGCGAATCCTTACTATTGGAAGCTACTGCGCTGACCCTAAGGTTATTAGGGAGTGTTTAATCGGTATTCCCCCTCTTTATCGTTCTTTCAATTTACCCTTCTCCGGTCCAGTCATGTCTACTCCTTTCAGAATTACACGCTCCTCTGCTTCTCTCTTGGGGGAAAGGTCTACCGAATAGGACATTGATTTAGGGGATATAGGCGAAGAAATCGACAACTTCCCCAGTATGGATGTTGTCGATGCCGAGGAAAATACTGAAGAACCATCCCCATCGTCTTCTTCTGTAACCCCTAATCCTATCAAAGGTTAGGGCAAGGTGAGTGGAATAAGTCTCTGACAGCACAACGGACATAGGGGCCGCCTTTAGGCACGCTGAGCTCATAGGACCCAGTGAGATTGACTCTTATAATGTGAGAATTCTCAATGCTCATTACAATTTTCCTCCTGGTGTCCAGATAAATACACCCTATACGTTGCCCAAGTTCACAAGAGGGTATGTTTCTTTGCGACAACTTTTGAGAATGACATTTGCTTCCCTATGCATCTCTTCATCAAGAGTGTTTTGCAACACTTTAATGTCTGCTCTGCTCAGCTCTCCCCTAATTTCTGGTTCTGATTTTCTTCAAGATTCATGGACTTGGGGTCCCTAACCTTTTCATGCTTGTGGATCTCTTTAATGTCAAGCTCACTCATCAGAGGGTTTCTTATATATCTCCAAGCGAACCACGACTAGACAAATCATTACTCATCTCTCGAGCTCCCATAAGGGTTGGAAGAAACAATTCTTTTTTTGTTGGGGGCATCAACTCGGAGTACAACCCTGCTGACAGGACTGATACTCTAGGTATCCCTAGAACTTGGTCCGCCCCTGATAACTTAGGTGATCTCTTGCTCGAACTGATTGAGCTCTAATTTGGGAAACATTAAGTTGCCTTTTTGACATTTGCTCTCCTTGTGTTGCTTTTCAGGCATTCGACCAGAGCTCAGTACTGAGGACGAGAGGGTGAAACAAAAGTTGGAGAAGTGCAATCCAGAGAAGTACTCCGAGCTCATCAAGCCCTGGGTCTTAGTAACACATGGATTCAATCCTCTTGAGGTATCGATTAAAGCTCTGCTCCCTATCTCAGTCGTTAGGCCTGACGACATAAAAGGTAACACTTTCTGAGTTGGTTCCCTTGTCTTTCCTTCTTTTTCCTTTCTCTTGTCTAACTTGCTTAGTCCAAATCTCCTAGACTCCTCCATAATGAAATCTACCCTTGAGGAGCTCTGGGCCAAAGTTAACCTACTGAAGAAGAATAGGAAAAGTGGCAAACGAAAGGTCGATACCAACTCTGGAGGCAGCCCTACTAACAAAACTAAAGTGCAAAAGTTGGGAATGCCTTCTTCTTTTGCCCTAAGCAAGGGAGGACAGACTCCCTCATCTCAATCCCTAGCCCCTTCTCCTTTTCATGGGGCCCAGTTTGCCCCCCAAAAGACTTCCGAGCCAGGGCTAACTTCCCCTACCTCTTCTGAGGTTAAGGGAACAATGAGGCTGATTACTGGAATCAAGCCAGATTTTGCACCCCTCAGACCGCCTGAGAACCCATCACAGCTGCCTCTCTAGGGTCCCAAAGTCAAAAGAAGGGAAAGCCAGGAGACTGATGAAGATTCCTTCTTCGACAATGCTGAGTTGGCTGTTGGGGTTATTTCATCCATTCTCCCTAAATCCAATATTCAGAAGGCCTCTATCATGCCTCCTATGACTTCTTTCTGCTCAGCTCTTAAGAGAGCAACCACTGTAAGCATTTTTACACTGGCTCTTAGTTCGGCACGGTTGAATTTTGCTAAGTTACATAATTACTTATGCTCCTCTTTCCCCGTCTTTCCTTCCCCTTGAGGCAACGAGGCCCAAAGTTACCTTACATGCCTTTAACTGAACTCTTAATTCCCTGGAGTTCGAAAACCCTTGGTGCAGACCTCCCAAAACTCCATTAGGGTCAACATAGCTTACTGACCCCCTGGACATCTAGTTTCATTCTTGGTATGTCTCTTCTTGTTGCTTGGTGTAAAGACTAGGGTGTGATTGCTTCTAGCGCAACCGCTAGCTTTGTTGGGGATATGGTCCTAGCAGTTACTTATGCTGACGAAGTCTTGTTGTGCCTTGGGAATAAAATTCTCTTCTTAGTCAGCCCAAAGAAATCTGAAAAATCTCTTTCGGGATGTGATCCAATTATTGAACTCCGTCTTAACCGAAGAG